TTGTTTTTGAAGGATTTATATTAGCCATTCCAACATTTACTTTTTTTTTGAAAAGTTTTTCTTTGCTTATTGTTGTTTTTGTTAATGCAGTGTTTCAATAGACATAGGAAGGTGTATTCATAACCAATTTCTAAATGCAATGAGTTTCCAACTGTAACATTTACTCGAACTGACGTATTTAAGTGTTTTGAAGAACTTGTAGCATTTCGCCACAATTTAATTCTTTGTATTGTTAGCCGACACTGGGCAGCTTGTACATAAATAGAGTTGTTTAAACATTTGTTTAACAACAAGTAAAAGCTTGGAATGGTCTATTCTTTTATTGGGGTGTGTATCTGTGAGCCAGACTAGTTTCGGAGAATTCCACTCCTCATCAGTGACCCTGGACACTACCACCAACGAAATATCAAACCAAACTAAGCCTTTGTAGTAGTGAGGTATCGAATATCGAAATGGTGTATTTAAGTGTTTTCCACTCACAAAAAAGAAACCTATCATTCTATAGGTATTTGAAGAACTTGTAGCATTTTGTCACACTGGGCAGCTTGTACATAATTGAATAAATAGTTGTTTAAACATTTGTTTAACAAAAAGTACTGGACAAATGTCACTAATAGGATTTGAGCTTTCTTTATTATACAAAATAAGGACAGTACCAGTTAACCAGTTACAAGGTCCTTCAGCAAGGAAAATGGTACTACAATTTTAATACTATGCATACATATGAATGTATGGAGACTTACCATACATGTTTGTATTGGAGTATACATAAATATAAAAGTTTATATTTTTGTTTAGAAAGTTTAATCTCCATTTATACAACAGGTATAGTATATTTCTTGTACTGTTGCTAGGTCAATATTTTGAAATTGATCCAATGTTGTTGATTGTAATAATTACACAGAATAAAAACAAAAATGAGACAGGTTCTGACAGCCTCTTAAATTTAGTTTTATACCAGTTTACGAGTCTGAAGTGCATACAAGTTAAAAGGTTTTAGATGAATACAGCAAAGCCCTTGTTTATTATATCAAGTTGAAAACAAAAACAGCACAACTGAGTAAAAGAAAAATATTTGAACATATAACAATGTTGTGAAGTAGTCACTCAAGTATACATTATAACACAGAAATTTGACAGAAAATAAAGGCACCTGAAGAGTTAAATCAAGTTCTGAAAATTCACCCTTAAAACATTTTAAAGGGTGTAAATATAACAAGTGTGATAATTATCTGCACCCCAATCTTATGGTTGAAATATTTAAACTTAGAGTCCCTTAAAAAGCTGTAAAAAATAACCAAGGCTTATATAAAAAAAATAATAATAATAATAATGAGACTTAAATAAAATTAAGGTATCAGACAATGCTTTTGCTGTGAAGTCTTCAAGCCACAATATCACACAAATAGTTCTTCCAATGTGCTCTGATCTGATAAACTTGGTAGTTGTTTTAAGTTTTGTGAGTAAACCTGGGGGTGTTCAGAAAATATTACATTTTCTTTTTGCCCTAATGTGCAATGTGCTCCGAGAGCTAGAAAGCTTTTGTGTTGACTGAAGATAGATTTTTAAAATAGAAATATCTTAACATCTTTAAATGTGAATAAATAGAGTTTTCTCATGTTGAAATCCACTTCTTTTTAAGTATTTGCTTTCCTTGTTATAAAATTTTCTAATTTCATAAAGACATTCAAAATAGTGAGGATTTTTAATTGAAATGCAGATATCTTAGATTTTCAAAACTTTTTTCTTAAAATTTTTGAGGACATTCTAACAGAACTCCAAAATTCTGTTAAAAAATCAAACACATCTTGAAATTTTTCATTCACCACCTGATAAATTGATAAAATAAAAACTTACTCGTATTCTACAACGAGCTTTTTCTGCTTCTGTGGCTTGTCCAGCTATTGATACCTGTTAAGATTGAAGATTAAACAATATCTTAAAATTATTACTTATACACATACACTCTTCAAATCAAATTTAATAGTGATTTTAATTCATATCATCATCTAGCTCAAGATAATTTCAAATGTATCTAACTATCTAAGAACACAAATACTTCTTTAAGAATACTACTTACGTAAGAAATTTTTTTTACTATCCATAATTGATAAACACACTTTAACGTACCTGATTGCTCTTCTCTGCCTGACCATTACGGTTTGAGTCTGGGAAGTGAATGTGACACCCAGTTTCATCCATTACCTGCTGAATGTTGTTCCCTCCTTTTCCAATGATGTGAGAATGGTCTGTATATGAAACATCCATTTTCAGTGTCACTCTGTTTTTCTGCTAAAAAATTAAAACACACCCCTTACTGAAAATAAGCATTAATTTTGAAACTCAGAACTCTCTCTAATAGAAAATAAAAGGATTCCCACAATACAAGTTAAAAATATTATATTGATCACTTTGGTACAATCTTTCACTACCAAAGTGTATTCTAATGGATTTCTCTATTCATTTCAGAAGAATTACCAGACGAAAGAAAATGAAGCTTTACCTTAAAATAAATATCTTATTCATATCAGTTTCTAAAAGGTTTTGTTTTAAGTAGATTAATCTTTCAGGAAACCACTAGAAAGAAAAATAATTAAATTGTCAAAATCATCTTTTCACAGCCAATATCAGTTTTTAAATGACTATGTTGTAAATGTAGAAGGATTTTAATAATTTCAGAAAATTAAATGAATGAAACATGATAGAATTCAAAATAATACATTTACTAAGAATTATCATCAAGAAGTAAAGATAACAATTGAGATGAAGTAGCTTAATTGGATAAATCATTTGCTGGGTAAAGTGGAACTTGCAGGTGCAAATTCTGCATATTTTCAATTTTTACTTCTTCATAAGATTTTTAATACAGGATTACAAATGAAGTCTTATTATTATTTCGACCAACAAGGAAATAGACAAATTTTGAAATTCACAACCCAATGGTACAGCATGAGAATTATTGTAAATTCCATCATCAATAACCTAGAAAGGTATTTGAAATGGAGTAGCTCAGCTAGTTAAAGCATCTTGCCCAGAAAGCAGATTCTTAAGTTTGAATTCTTCAAAATTTAAATTTTTAATTCAAAATAATTCTAACATTACATTACAAAAAACATTTGGTATTAAGGTCACCAAGTTCATAGAAACATGTCAAACTTCTCAATTTGTATTAACATAAACACTTTTCTTTAGACAATGGTAAAACAGATTATTGGCATTCTTTCCTTTCCACATATTGCTGAAAGTATCTGTATAGCAAGTTGATCTGTTTTCTAAAGAATAATATAAATTAACAAGTCTTTCAAATGTGAAAAGTTTATTTCTATACATGTGGTCTGTTTTAATACCATAAAAAACTCAGACAGTCACATCTACAGCAAGTGTTCTTTAATGAAGAACAATAATAAATTTATGCTAGTTAAAGAATGAATACTAGAAAGATAATGGAGTACACAATTGACTAAAATCATGTAATTTTTCTAAAAAATGAAATTTTGTCCAACTACTAAATGTTAATAATAGATGCTTTTAATCTGCACTTATCTTTGTACTGCAAAAATGACAAAAAACAACCTAAAATAAGTAATTAGTAAAATAATTTCTGTGAATTAAATTAGAAATAACATACATAGCTTTAATGTATAGAAAATAAATCAGTCTAAATAACTGATAACATTTCTTCATGTTAACCTATTTATTTAACATGGACAAGTGGTTCTAAAGATTAATTTCCTTAACAAACTCTGTAGGCCGCCAAGTCAGAAACACTACTAACAACTTACATCCTTTTTAAATGGTCTGGTCAAATCATATGTGAACATCACAATAATCCAGCTAAGGCTGCACTCAGACATACCTAACACAAAGGATTCTTGGTACAGTCACATAGCTACATTGTTTAAGAAATTTAGAGCAATAGATAAAAAAAAGTACACATTTTTCCTTATATGTGGTTTCTTCAGTTATCTTACTATAAAGATGATCAATTAGTGCATGTCTGTGTTTGTACGAGCATCCATCACCCAGAGTTGGCTAGTTCAGTTACAGTAATTTTTGATATGATAACTGGAAACTGTCTAATAAGGTACATGGACTACCTTGTTTTAGTACTTTTTCCCAAGAAGGGGTTATAAAAAAGAAAACTGAAATAAGGTACATTCCCAACTTTTTATAAACTTTTAGCTTTGAATTTAAAGACACAATTTTTAATCAGTTAAGTAAGTCAGTTATTACCTTATACAAAGCAGGATATACAATTAGCATTAATGAAGATTTGATAACAAAAGAATGAAGGAAAGGGACCATTATGTAACATTGCCCTTTATACAATTTATATAAAGGGTAACTTCAGCTAGTTACTATAAAAAGATCTGATAATATAACTAACATAATCTCTAGTATAATGATTAAAGTGAGAACTTATTTACTAATATTACATACTTATATTCAATATGAATACTGTATATCCTAATATATATCATAATGAACATTTTTCACATCAATGTGCTAGTGTCACAGTTGCTTTAAATTTAAATGAAACAAGTTATGTCCCCCAAGTAACAGTTTTATAGCTGTTAGTTTTTTTTATTAACTTCAATAACTTTACCACAACACTAGAGAAATAAAAGTTATTGAATATACTGAGAAAACTACTAATATTTTCAACAAAGGATTGTTTAAAATATTGGTATCAATGGAAGGACTTTTGAAAATATCCTAGTATTTTTTTTCATTTTGACATTTGTTTTTCCAGTGAACATTAAAATAGCTTAATTATGCTAAATAGATATTTACCTTTGTGTCCAAAAACTTCAAGAATTCTTTCTCGAGCTAATGTAACTGCTTCTGGTCTTCCATATATTTTAATATGAGGATCTATCATACATAAAATAAAGGATTATTATTCTAAAATAAACAGTGGTCTTCCATAACAACAACTCATAATAAATAATTTACTATTTTACTACCTGAAAAATTAAGTTGTAAACCATAATCAAGTAATCAAACTTGCCTTCAAAACAATCCTTTTAATATTGATAGTTAATAACTATTTGAGAGTTGAATGTTCAGGAAAATTTATTAACTTTTTGATAATCTGACTGCCACAAGTTTATTAGACTATTTAAGATTTAAATATATAAAATAAAGCATTGAATAATGATCATACATCAGCCAATTCCTTTTTTCCCCTATTAATAATTGATCCACATAGTAATTGTGGAGATTATATATGTGTAAATGTATTATTTAACTTTGTGAATCCTAATACACACACTTTAGTAATTATAACATGATTAAAATAGCTTTGGTAAAAAAATGTGTTATTAATTTTATCTAACTTTAATAGAACTGCCTTTTTAAAAAAAAACTGTGCATAGGTTAAACTTCTGTTACCAGATTATTCTATGACTAACTAAATGTGTTTATAATATGAATAACCCACTTGCATCCTCTTGACTTTTTAGTGTGTATTTCATTCCCAGAAGAGAGATTAACTAGGACTTTTAGAAACACCATGCATGTAAGTTTATAAAATTTTCTAGTAAGTAGGCTACAGTAATGCTATACAGTAGCACTTGAGTACTAACACTTAATTCCGCTAATAGTGTAAATGAATGAAGTGGCTTTGCAAACTGTTTTGAACAAGGGGAATTCATATACAAACTTCGTGTAGGTGTTGAATGAGACATAAAACGGAAAGTGTAGTTCATAACCAATAAGAATGTAAACCTAACACAGCCTATTGGTTAACCACTTCCACTCACAAGGCTTATCTACAACAAACTAAAATCCCCATGCGACTCTTCTTTTATGTAGTACTTAGATAACATTCTCCCCACATTCTGATGTGGATTGGATACAAAGCGGTGTCAGATTTATTGATGAGGACCTTCTAGCTGAAACATACAACTCGTTTCAGGCCCACAGCCGCCTACATCCGTCTGGCATTCATCAACCTGCTAAAGCTATTTTACTGTAAGTTTTGGCTCACCATTTTCTATTACATTAACCATGATAATAACTCTGCTGTGCTCTCTCTGTTACGTTTCTTTTCCTAACTTATTTCACGTCGGTTATAGCTAGCTACTCACTCACAATTCAGACCTGGATTTTGAAAATTCTCAGAGGCTAAGGGTAAAATCACATGCAAATAAAAGAACCTTCATTGCTACGAATGTACAACCTTGGCATCTTAACTGGGTTGTAAATGACGTAAAATTATAATTTGTGAAAAACAAATCGCTGTTCAAACTGAAAAGTGAGCTTGTGACTATTATATTAGTATATATAAACTTCATTCAAAAAAATTCTATTGAAATGTACGGCTAAAATGCAATAAGAAAAAATTATAAATCAGTACTGATTTGTCTCTCTCTCATGTGCATACATATATATACACATATATATATATTAAGCTGTAAATTCTACGAAAAAATAACAAAAACTTAGTCATAAATATGAAGTAGTGTTTAATCTTATAACCCGATGTGCATTGTACACGAACGAACAATTTGCGGGCATAACTGAACAAGCTGTGTCACTCCCAATTTTAGTTTCAGAAATCCTGCTATTTCATTTTATCAGCAAAATACTTTTCTAATACTCCCCCCAAACAGCAGCTCATCCAGCTGTTTTCACCCACCCGATTCCCACAGCATTACACTGTACCACATAGTTCCCGAAACCACAAGAACTCTACGCCGTAATGACAGAGTGAAATATTTAGCCATTAAAAAGTCAACCGCCCTTTCTCAAGTGATTATAACTTATTCCATCTAAGAAGCGAACAAGCCCGAAGATATTATCTTTGCTTTTTGTTTGTGTCGGAATTTAAGTAAAGCGGAATTAGCTTTTCACATAGTCTCGATATTGTTACGTCTCCGTTTGTTAATTGATTTTTCCGTAACTTCGTTCCGACGAAACTTTAACGACACAAGTCTTTATTCAATAAAACTGGTTTATTCTTTCCGAATATAACTTTACGGTACACTTAATTTCAATATTCGCGCTAAAACAAACACTATAACGAACGAACGTTAACTTCAACAATACGTCTCTCTCTGACCGCAGTTCAATTACTCATTACCTACACACACATTATTGCGTCACGTTGTCACCCTCTTATATATACCAGCCTGCCCT